GTTCCACCCTTCTCCTCCTGTCGCGCCTCCCCACGCTGCTTTACGACGATCACCTCGGTGTACTGTTTAACCTCGCGTATCCCTAACTTCGCGTCATTTTAGTTTTCCTTAAGAGCATATAAAAAGTCGTGTGGCACATTGACGGTTGGAATGTTATTTTGTCTTCATTAAATTTATAATAAGAATCATAATAATTAATAATAGTAGTAATATAGTACTTTTTTTGCGGTGTTATTAATAATATTGTTTTATGTATCCTTTAATCATAATAATATAATCATACAAGAATCATAATAATAATAATTAATATATTTTATATATATATAATATATACCTTTCTGTGTGTGTATTTTTTTTTCTTTAATATATACTATAGTAGTTTATTTTTCCTCTGCACTTATCGTTTATATTCTACGCTGACTGCGGGTTTTGATTTGTGAGAAACCTCGCCCGGCTTCGGCGTCGCGATCAACGGCGCCGCGACGGACGGCGATCGATCGACGATCGTCGCCTCTCCCGCGCGACGAAACGAACGTCCTCGGCGATATTTTCGCCGATCGCGACTCGCGAGGCCGGGGCGATCCTTGTTAGTATTTTGTTTCTTTTTGCATTGCTCTTCGTGGCATCTGCGTAAATCACTGTTGGATATAGAGACTGTACTTTATGTTTGCTTTGTAGATTCCGGTTTCCCCCTTGTTTTCTGCGCTCTGTCGTTGCGGGTGCAACGCGGGCGATCGTGAGCGGTCGCTGCGTGCCCATCGCTGAGAGAAATGTCTATGGTTGCCTGTAGTGTGTACGTGTTATTGCCGGTTTTTTTGCTTGGCTGCGCCGGGCGAGTATGCAGCCCGGTGCGCGCACGGGCTGGCGCGGTCACCGCCGGGGCGCTTCCGATCTCTCTAATCTATCTACCGATTGGACCCGATTCGAGAAGTCCCGCATCCGCGTCGAAGACGAACCGGGCCGTCCCTCTCCGGCTCGAGCCTTCGACTCGTCGTAATCACCGAGAGAGAACAACCCCGGCGCGCCGGTCGACCGAGATCGGTTCCTCTCGTTGATATGCTCCGTTGTCGATTGGTCGTGCTCTAATCGTTTCTCTAACGCTACTCTGAGCGAAGGCGCGCCCCGTCGATCCCGGCCCGTCTGTTACTGTAAGGAGACGACTGGTATCGGGAGGCTGTGATGTAGCTGTAATATTGTTAGAGCAGACTGCGTGTTATTTCTGGCATGCTGTTTCGCCTAATGCGGCCCGGGGGGGGGGGGGG